TTGTATTAATAACACTCCAATTAAAATCGCTATCAAACAAACTCATCTTCCTTCATCTGATTTAACAATCATAAAAAAATTCAATTCATTTTTTAAATCAACTTCGCTTCTCCTTCCTACAACTTATTTCAACCGGTAATCCATCAAAAAATAATACGATCGAAATCAGAATATTTCAAATTTTGTCATATGATAGTAGTTAGTAGGTTATATTTTTAAATCACCCTATTTTTGCCATCTATTAATTCATGACATCATTTTAAATATGGTTAAAAAAATATTTTAAACCAATGTGGTGGCTAACAGCTTAAATTATTCTATAAATGGTATTTTCTGTTTGGAACACAACAAAAGTTTGTTTTGAAAGTTTGACGTTTATGGTTTGACGTGTCATTTCAATTTAATGGACTTTAATAATTTAAAAAATAAAATGTACTTATTATTTATATATTATTGTAGATCCAGGTATCCAGCTTTTTATTTTATTTTTAACCGACTTCAAAAAAGGAGGAGGTTATCAATTCGTCGCGATATTTTTTTTTTATGTATGTTCAGCGATAATTATTCAGCACGGTGTCCGATTTCAATAATTCTTTTTTTGTTAGAATGGGGGTACTTCAGGGGTGGTCCCATATAAAGTTGGTCAAAATATAATAATTGGGTCTGCGAGAAAATCCTCAAACTCTTCATTTTTTATGTATGTTTAGCGATAATGCTTTACCACCTTGTCCGATTTATATGATTCTTTTTTTTTTAGTAAGGGGATACCTCAGGGGTGGTCCCATATAAATTTGGTTAAGATGTGGTGACGGTATCTGAACGTTTTTGAAGTCGGTTTTTTTAAATTTTTAATTTCTAATATTTGTTATTTGGCTAGTTTGCTAATATCACAATATTCACATTTAGTAAAAAATGTAATAATATAACAATTATTATAATCAAATTCTAAATAGGAAATGTAATTTAACTGCAATTGTTTTGATAATAGTATTTGTATATGGTCTGTGAATTTCTTCTGTTTCTCAATAATTATCCTTAAATATTTGAATTTTTCTACTAACTGTATAGATTTTCTTCCAATTTCGTATATTGTTTGTCCACAAGCTGCATATAGTTATTACTTATCAGCATATATTTTGTTTTAGATATTTGTGTTGATTTTTAACAAATGATTGTAACATCATTTATAAACATTTTGCAGAGTTTCATTGACAATTAATTCTGTTATCTGAATCCTTACAACTTAGAAGAAACATAGATAAGGACATCATAGGCAAACAGGTAAATATCATATTGATTATTGCGACATCAACAATCATTAATATAAATTAAAAATAACAGGGGACCTAATTGTCTTCCTTTGATGTGGTTAATTTCTTCTGATCAGGATAGCGATTCTTTTGTGCGAACTCGACACATTACATACAGAATAGAGAGAGACATTACATTAAAATTGCTGTCTCTCGAACGAAGATAGGAGTCTCGATTGGAGACATACTGAAAGATGTGAACCCACTGCATATATTATTTAATTTTAACCACTCTGACCTGATACATAGATAATCCACATGCTACTACAATGCATGCTTTATAGCATAGATATAAAAAACCACCTTTATACCCATACTTTTTAATTTTTTTATCGAATGGTTTCGATCAACAGAATCAAATGCATTTTAAAGAAATACAATTTATTTTTTAATTGTACATATGGCGGGTTGTACAATAGGCAGTTAAAATGTAGACTTAGTTTAAACTGTGAACCTTGTCGAATACTCATCGGTTATTGTTAAACATAGTTTTAAAAATGACATTTGTTTTTGAATATAACTAGTTAAAAATAAAACTCTTGTTAGTTAAAATGAGTTAAGAATATTTTTTGTACAACCTGCCCATAATGTATTTTATAATAACTATAAATCATAATATTCTTGTAAGGAAGTTGGGAAGCTTAGGGTATGATCAGTCGCTGTTAAGATTATTTTCATCTTACCTAAATCTTCGTTTTAATTATGTCTTTTACAACGGATTTTCATCTTTACCCCTCACAGCAACATCTGGAGTTCCACATAGCTCCAATCTGGGGCCACTAGTATTTAGTATATTTATAAATGACTTGGCAATAAACTTAACATGTAATCACCTGCTGTTCGCTGCTGACTTAAAAATATTTACCTCAATCTCATCAATTCAAGACTGTCACTTTTTAAGGCCTAACTGGGCATCGTTGTAATGAAAACAAGCTGTTTATGAATGTGTCTAAATGTAAAGTATGTTCCTATACTAGAAGTAATAACAAGGTGGAGTTTGATTATTTATTTAACGGCCTACCTTTATCAACTTGTGCACAAATTGAAGATTTAGATATACTATTCAACCAAAAAGTTATTTTTCGGATTATATTGAAAATACCGTTGCTTCTGCGTTGAAAAGCTTAGGGATCATAATTTGTAATACTCGTTCTTTTACAAAGTCTTAAAGCTTGGAGATCCTTTACTTTTCTTTAGTCCGTTCCAAGCTAGAATATGCATCTCTCATCTGGAACCTTATTTACAATATTCATAAAAGATCATTGGAAAATCTTCAGCGGCGATTTCTTAAGTAGCTTTCTTTTAAAATAGATGAGCTGTATCCCATTCGAGGTATTGAACAATCTCTGCTTCTTTCGAAAATAGAAGGGTAGTTTCCAGTGTTACATTTTTTTATAAAATATTACATAACACTATTGATGTACTATTTTTGATAAATTAAATAAATTTTAATATCCCCCAAACAGCCATTAGTTATCATAAAACATTTTATACAGCAAGTATTTGAACGAACTTGGGAAGAAATTCGCCTATAACGCTAATGTGTTCAAATGTTAATTAATTTTGTTATGATTGGGATATTTATTTCGACCATTAGTTGTACTAATTTGTAGATAATGTATTTAGGATTCTTTCTTTTTTTTTTTCTTCTTTCTGTTGCTAAAATTATTTTCTGTCGAAATATTGTTTAACATTTATTTCATGTATTTTTTTGTTCTGTAAATGGATTTATTTGTTGGGCAATAAAATTATTTTTATTTTATTAAGCAAAAAAATGTTTATTTTGATGCACCTACCACCTTTACAAGTTTGTCAGTATATTAACGAGAAATCCTATATAATTCCCAAAGAAAAATATTTTTGGAATAAATTCCGAATTCTATTTATTGATATTTGTTATTTTTTAGGTTCAATGACTCGAAACATGATCAGCTACACCAAGAATATCCTTGATACTGAAAAAATGGTACGAGATTAAGCACATTGTGGTGCGAAGACGTGGCTTGTATAAATTTGGGGTATCAGTTGATAGAAAACAGTGCGCAAAAATTAATTTAAATCTGCATATGCATCAGAGATAGCCATATTCCATACCACAATACGTAATGCGTGAACTCGATGAGATTTCATCGGCTAAGTATCATTCCTCTGTAATGTTTTGTATCATTAAAAACACCAACATTGTAAATGATTATGACCAGGGTTTTCTAACCTTTTTTCTAGGTCAGAGAGAATAAATGAAAACTAAATAATGTACAGTAATAAAGATTAAAAATATATATTCTTTTAAGTTTTATTATGTCAGCTATAGTTTTATACCAAAAATGAAAATAAACTGAAATTATACATTAAAAATACATTCATAAATTAACTATATTTATAACATTCATCGACTCTCTCCTGGCTAAAATATTACTTATCTAGCTATTCAGCTCTACTCCGTCTATTTTTTGCCTTTAACCTCCTTATGACACTTCCATTCATTCTTATTCAGTGTAGTATGCATGGTTTTTAGAATATCAAGTGTTATACCTATCTGATGCTTGGTCCTGCAAAGTTCATCTTCAGTACAACTGCTTATGTGACATCTATCACGATGTCAAGTTTAATTGAACATCCGTTTCTTGCCCATTACTCTTATACTTAAGCAGAACTCGCTTAGACTCAGACGCATATGTCTAATTCGTCCAAAACACAGCCTTGGTACACAAATATCTTTTTTAGCGCTGGTTTTATTATAAAAAACTGGAATAAAGGGTAAAATTATATCTTGTTCAGTACACTCGTATACCCTTGAGTATTAGCCTATATTATTTTTGATTAAAGACGTATCCATTTAAAAATGTCGTTTAAAAAATAAACATTTAATTTTTATATTTTATTTAACTCAATCAAAACATTAAATTATTATTTTCCATTTGTATATGGCTTATACCGGACCTGTATGTACTCTAGTAGCTGACCGTGTTGCCGTCAGTTGCCGCTACATATTCATTAGTGACACGTTTTATAAATTCATCGTGTTACATATTTGTTGATATAAAGAGATTGTATTACTTCGAATGAAAAAATCGATAATGCAATTTTCTAACCTAAAAAAAATCGTGATTATATGTCAAACGAAATTGAACTTGCCCTTAAAAATCCATTTCAAAGTATTCTCGGATTAAAAAATTATTGCTAAAGTTCTATAACATCCTGTACAAGTGATAAGAACGTACAACTTTTAATTATCATAACCTTAAATACATTATTAGTTTATAAATGTGAGTATTGTCAAAGCACCGTTACCCAAAGAGATGTAAAAAGAACTATATGAAAAAAATATATTTTTATTAAATCGTCATTAAACAAATTAAAGTTCTTATTACAATTTATGAATTTGGTGCGCCGGCAAACAGTCATGGGAATAATTAATGTTTTCCAACATCATGTAATAAAAATGTTATTACCTACCTACCAACCATTTTTTTCTGTTTTATGCTATTAAATATTTAATGTGTTTTAGAAGTCAAGGTCACCTTAAAACTGTACGTCGCAATTTTTGATGTATCGGTAATGTTTCACTTTCATAGGGGATTTAAAATAAACTGATACCATCCAATTGTTAATTTCTTGTTCTAAAGCTTTCCATCAATGAAACCATCATGTATTTATTATTTATTTATATAGGTTGTTTGTTTTCGAAAAACTAATTAATTAAAAAAATTTATTTATAGATATTTTATTCCTGAATTTATGTTTCTTTTCTAACATTAACTTAATCGACATCTATTTTCTTGAAGTTTCCGTAGTATCCTAGAAAATCAGAATTTACCAAAGGCTCTGGTCGAAGAACTTCATTTACTTTTAATTTTTGTAACTGCTCATAGCGTGGTTGATATCTCTCTAATTTTAATTTCCATAATTCTGAAAACCAAAAGTGTAGCTGGTTGAATTTTTATATTTTTAATTTGTTATTCATATTTATTTATTATCCAAACATGAAGAGGAAAAATCTGATGATGATAATAATAATAGAGTACAGCAATAATATCAGACCAAGGAAACAATAATTTGGTAAGTTGTTTGCGCAAAATTTTCATTTTACTTCAAAGTATACTAATATTATATAAACTCTAAAAAATCTTCAAAACATAAACATAGTAAAGTAAGTAGCAGAAAGCTTCAACAATATCAATTTAATAAAGCCAACTAAGGTTAGTTTTTTATTATTAAGCCTTACCGTTTAATTCATCTACAGATCTTTCTTCACCACCGTAATCCTTTGGTAAAATTTCCTTTGGTACATGTTCAAATAACTCTTCGGTAGCAGCATGGATAAATAGCTATAAAAAATTCAGATGTCAAACATGATTTAAAAATATAGCAAAAAAAATCTTAAAAAGTATAACCTACTGCACCCAGGTACCTTGATAATTTATTAATTCCATTTATTAAATATAACATTGCTTTCTAATTAAATTCAAAATTCTTCATTTAACGAAAAATCTCCCAGATAATTAAATCTTATTTGAGACACCTAATAAATAATATCTATAATCACGTACAATAAATATCCAAATTTCGGGTACGTGTCTGGGAACATAGACCATAAAAAATATTTCTTTTCACGAAGTAATCATCATTAAAATACTTAACCCGCTTATCTTTCTAGTTTCAATGTTAAGACCGATTTTGACAATATTTTGATACACAAAGCTCTCAAGGCACATAATAAATAATCGACCTTCTTTTGCACCCACATTCGTATTTCTCTGGGAACTAAGACATACAGAGATGTCACAAAAGCCATTAACTTTAGTATAAGAAGTCAGACCCAAATGGGCTCGTATTCATTCATTTTTAATTAGTTGATGTGCAAGTATTCATTTTTATTATTTGTACCCTGTTATATTTCAAGTTCAGTAGTCAGTACCTTTTCTAAAACGTTCTTCCTAAACAACGTCCCTACAATATCTCCTATTCCTGAATGCTGTCAACGTCCCATGCCTTATTTCCGACGCTTGCCGTCCCTCAATATTTCCTTCATAATACCCTTCGTCACGTCCCTCACTGCCTACATAATTCTACCGTATATCTGTCCCAATGCAGTATCGTATTAAATACCTTTCTTTCCACCACGACGCTAGGCGCCTCGACGCAAGACGATGCTGAACGCTGCTATGTACCTAAATCAACGCCGTCACAACGCTAGATGAAATTAGTACATAATCTAATGTCTGTATTTTCAATGGTGAGTTAAAAGATTTATGTAACTTTCTTTGAGATACCACCGGGGTTTCGTTTAGACGAGGGATTTTGACATTGCTACAAAATATTAATAATTTAACCAATAAACCACATGGCCTTCAGGTCATATATCCCGAAGACAGTTAGGATAGACATCTGTTTTCGATGGGTAAAATTTTGAGTATTTTAATAGAAATTATAAAAATCAATATTAAGAAATACACAGGGTTGTAATAAGTTATTTCAATAGAAATTATAATAATCAATATAAAAAATATGCAGGGTTGTATTAAGTTAATTCAATAGAAATTATAAAAATCAATATTTTAGAAATATACAGGGATGTGCTATCTTGGATAAATTGTACAAAACAAAATGGTAAAGTTTAATAATAAGTTAACCAACTGGTGAATACACTATTTGTTAGCTCAAGGGGGACACCTATATGCTAAGCAACCCATTCTACCAGGTTTGAAACAAAGTATATGCGAAATCAACATAGTAAGGTAATCAACTGGCGAATTGGCGCTGTTCGTTACTTCCGTTGGTCATCAGCTCTATACTCGTTGAAATATTTACCTAAGAGGGTGCAACCTGTGTATATCTAGAATAGAATCAAATCAACATCAACACAATAGTTAACCAACTGGCGAATTGGCACTGTTCGTTTACTCCGTTGGTCATTAACCTAAATAAGAATATAAACATCAACACAGTAGTTAACCAACTGGCGAATTGACGCTGTTCGTTAACTCTGTTGGTCAGCAACCTAAATAAAATATATCTTGATAGTAAATGAACGTGGTCTGCGTTTTAACGGGACTCAAGTGAGATCTCAGTAAATAGTTTTGTAATTTGTATTTGTAATATACTTTGCTAATTATTGCATCACATTTAAAGTATGAAAAATCAATTAATTAACTAGACGATCACTTTTACTACTAGAGGAAAAAAGGCCAATTACAGTGAGCATAAAATTTAAAGTAAAACTTTTGAGGTAAATAAAAAATTTCAGTGAATAAAATAACGAAAAAATAGGAGGTGCCGGGGGTGGGCCGTTACAAAACGTGTGTCTATATACCTTAATAAGCAAGGTCTGCAGATTAGAGAGAACTAAATAAATGTACTAAAGAGAGATATACAAAGAAATGATGAAGTCTCTCAAAGAGACGTTGAAAGATTCTTTAGGCTTGATTCACAAGAAATAGATAGCGACCACAGCGACCTTTTTAAATCTACAGTAGGACTCCATTATTTAGAGTCTGTTATGTAGCTTTTTTTTATTAGCCAGTGGCTTCCTCATATAGTTACATGCTTCTCGCTTTAATCCAACTTGATTTAAAAGCCATAATCTAGACAGGCCTCCGCACTGGCACAAGACGTGCATTGATGCTTGTTCTGCATTAAAAACCTGCACAATGTTGTCTCATTTGCTGGATTGATGTTTGTGCCCGGTAAAAAGATCTACTGTTATCCTAACGATTTGTCGTTTTTATTCAGTATATCTTTCGTAAACTTGGTCGATGGTTCCTGAATACTTCTGAGACTCTTTTTATTTCATTGTTTGATGAATACCTTGCACAAGACCTTTTCAACTCAGCAGTAGGGTTCGGGACCTTTATGGCCTTATCTAAGCCTTCTCAGGGCAGTTCATCGGCCCTTTCATTGCCCTGATATCCTGATAAGGCTGTTGTATGACTGTTAATTAGGCCTAAAACACTATCGCTTATTCTCCTAGGCTCACCTGCTCCTTCCTTGGTTTTTGAACTGTTTGTATACTACACGATAAGTTCAGCATGTAAAAGAGGTACCTGTTTCCAGGATTCTAGGGTAGGTAGTTTAATTTGAAAATTTCAAGAATCTAGTTTGGACCAAGGGGTAAACCGTTAGTGTACTATAGTGTAAACGCAATCTGTACTATTTGTGTTCTTCCGGTACTATTTGTGTACTTCCGGTACTATGTGAGTACTATTTTGTACTAATTGTGTAGACTCGCCATCATTACAGCGATGCTGGCCTGAGAAAATAATAATTTTACTCTGGGAATACACAAACAACCTTCTTTAATATTATCAACCTAAGTTTAATCTATTTGTGTACTATTTATACCTACATAATTTGTATACTATTTGCGTAATATGTGTACTATTTGGGGCAGAATGTGTACTAGGGTACAATATTTTCACAGCGATCTACCAGTCGATTTGGATATATTGAAGAAGCGCCTGAACTTTGATCATAGATTAAGTATATTTATTTAAAATTCAAACTTATTTGTTATTTATGTACCTGGGTCGGTAAGTGTAATTTACAGGTCAAGAACACAGTAGATCTGGAAATGTGGTAAACCTTTCTTAACATTGACATACGTCAGGAAAAGTCAGTTACAATACTATTAGTATAAATCATGGCTCCATGACAAAACAACGCAAGATAAAATTTCCTAGGACAAAATAGCGCCGAAAAAATAGCACAAGTAAAAAATTGCTCAGGACAAAATGGCTCAAGGACAAAATAGTGCGTAACGAACAAGATATATATTTTTATTTAATAAAATTCATTGAAATAATGCTTAAAAAATACTGTTTCAAAGACATCTATGTAGAGAATCTTTGAAGTGTAGCTTCGTTTCTCTCACATTTTAGGATTCGACTCATTTTAACGCGAAACAATTTCGCGCGGGACAAATTTGCTGTGACAAATTTGCGCCGAGACAAATACATGAGAGACAATTAGCGCCTAATATACATAAAGTGAGATCAATTAACGCCTAATCTAATTATACTGAGTTAAGTTAGCCCTTCTATAAAAAAGGGTAAAACAAATTAACGCGTGACAAAATATACCAGTGTTCTAATTTAAATTAAAAAACTAATTTAGCTAAATTGGGCGGCCTGGAGCCTTGGGGGTTGCTGTATATGGCTCTAGGTCGCACAGGTTCGGTAAATTAGTTACGATTTTCTTTTTATTTTTCTAATTTTATTAAAAATTGTTTTCTTTAAAGCAACATGCGATGGCTTGAGGCCGCACAGGTTAGGTAAATTAGTTTATTTGTTTCTTAATTTCAATTAGAATACTGGAATACTTGGACACTTCCTTTTATATCCTGCGTTATTTTCTCGTGCGCTATTCTGTCTTGCGCTACTTTGTTTTTGCGCTATTTTGTCTTGCACTATTTTATCCTTGAGCTATTTTGTTCTTGCGCTATTTTGACCTTGCGCTATTTTTTCCTTGCCCTATTTTGTCCTGCGCTATTTTATCTGCGCTATTTTGTCTACGCTATTTTGTCTACGCTATTTTGTCTACGCTATTTTGTCTACGCTATTTTGTCTACGCTATTTTGTCCTGCGCCATTTTGTCCTGCGCTATTTTGTCATGGAGCCATAAAACATATTTTAAATAAACTGTTCAATTATAAGTTTCAAAGATCAATGTATTATCCACACAGTTCTCATATATACTTATGTTATGTTGAGAATGGGGTGTTAATACACTGCGACCTAAAAGATCTATTGTGCCCCCTTCTGTCGCCACTGCACTAAGAAAATGTCTCAATGCCTATAGCGACCGTTCCAATCCTATTTTCTCAAGGAAGTGTAGGATTTGAAGTGGCTTCAAGTTAGGTAAATCTCTCTCTTCTATTTGATATCCTCCTAGATATAGTGCCCTTGAATTCTGGAGTGCTACACATTCAGTTAGGATGTGAATGGAGGTTTCGTCCTTCTCCTCACAGAATCTGCACTCACTATCCTCTACTACTCTCTTTACTTAGGTGTCCTTTTAGTCGGCAATGCCCGGTAAGGATCCCTGTTACAATACGTAGCCTGTTCTTGTTCAGGCAGATGCAGGCTTCCGATCTTTTCTGGTTATATTCACCCAGAAGTATCTTGGCCTGTCTCAGCCCCAAGAGATTGTTCCAATTATCGGTTCTTCTACTACCCTCATATATACTTACTCTATCCAGAATTTTTTTCTTCACGACAGTTTTTGCTAATGAAATTACTACTTCAGCAAAAGTTGGAACATTAATAAAGTGAATGCCCTTTACTCTGCTTGCCCATAGTTGCTGAAACATATTCTTATATTACTTAAAACGTTTAAACTTATAACACATGAATGTCAATTGACTTCAAATAGATATAAGTTAGGATTAAAAAACTGTAATTCACCTCTAAAAAAAAGTTTGACATCTTCATTTGAGTCGGAGTGGTTTTTAGAACATGGCTTTTCTTTATATATTTAAAATCAATAATGATGATATCTCCCATGCTAAGTTCTTCTTCTATCAATATCTCAAAAATAATCTGTACAAACGCGAGAAATCTTAAAGGGTTGTATTCGGGATAATCAAAATCTCTGTATGCTATTATGTTTACTCGATAAAAATCTTTAGTAAGCTTTGATAAAGGAAAATAATACCTGAAATCATAAAAAATATATATATTTTTTCTGTATACAGGGTGATTCACGACCATAGCTATAACTAATTGTTTTGAAAATCTCTTTTCATTGGAAGGAGTATGTCGATCAGGGTTATAATAAAATTATTTTCATTTATACAAGGTATCTCAGAACTCGTTAAGTATCAAAGTTATCTTTTTTGATAAAACACCCTATATTTTTATGAATTTTTTAAATCTGCAACACAAATCAATGGCAACTTTGATGAGAGCTTCCTTTACCGTTCTTTGGAACTGAGGATTTTCGAACATGTACGGTCTTTAAGAAATTTGAATTTTTAGCAGAGAAAACTTGTAATTCGTGCAAATACAAGTTTTCCTTGCTAATCTAAGCTGCGTGCACACAGACGTTAACAATGATTGGACATAAAATATAAGAGTGATATTGGAAATACATACAACATATTCCGCTAATATCTAAAGCTAACCCTGTCCCTGAATTAACTTATTAAAAGTACCGAGTTGATTAGTCGCCCACAGATTGCACCGGTAATGTTTCACCTATTTTACAGTTCATTATGTTAAGGCTACAGAGCTATACTTAAAGAAATATGTATGCTAGGCCTAAACTCTTAGCCCGTGAATGCTCCAAGCGATTAAAATGGACAGAATAGTAAAGGAAATGAAAATGGGAATAAACATTAAAAACTGCAAAACAATGATAAATGTGTTAAACGAAACAATAATTAACAGAGATATTTGTATCATAAAATGACAACAGCCAGCTTAAGAGTATCTCGAAAGGAAGAATAGACAATGCATAGCTCACCAAGCAAAAAAGAAAGAACAGTATTATACCATACTAGGAAACACTGAAATTGTATGAATATCAAAAATCAAATTATCATGGACAATTCAGAAGAAATGTAAGAGTAGGATAACAATAATGGAAATAAAGTAATTAAATACAATCGCATAGGAAACTATAAAATGCCTAGAATACGAAATAAGAAGATAATAAGTTGTGTAGAGTAAACAAGATAGAGAAAAATTAGTAAGTTGAGAGTAGGAAAAAGACAAAGTAAGTAAATAAACTTAGAAGGAACAAAGAGAAGCCCATAGAAGCAATTTATGAAAGATCAAAACGCATGGAAAAAGTAGGCTGCTGAATGATTAACAACACGACCCTCTTGCAGAGTAAAATAATTAACAACCCCAACACCTCTGTGTGGTAAAAGGGGGACGGTAAGACGAAGTGGGGGAACAAGAAAAGAATAAGAGCAAGAGTAATAGGATGAAAATGCCGATGATACAGAAAAAAGGATGAAAAAAAAAAAGGATGAAAAAAGGGACAGAAGCGAAAGAATAAGAAGGGCTTCTGAAGGGTTATGGGCATATATAACAACCTGAAAATCATAGGCGCCACTGAAAGGTGTTAACTCTGTTAAACATGGAAATTTACTGATTTCTTTAATGATCTAATCTGTCAAAAAAATAAAGTCTTAATAAATATTCATATACTAATAGTATTGCACAATATTTCTTCAAATTTATCCTAAAAAAAAACAAATGGATTAAATCTACTAGGTGGCCAAATAAATTTTATTCCACAATCTATTTTTTTTTTTTTTTTTTTTTTTTAGGAAAAAGTCGTAGAAATATTTTTTATGAATAATAAATATATACAGGGAATCCATCAATATTCGAGGTCATTTTTGGAATTTTTGAAATCATTCTCTACAGTTTTCACAAATTCGGTAAAGTATCTATTTTTTTGCTATATTAAAACCAATTTTTCAAAATTTCAAGCTTTGCATACTGAACGATATAAAGAGTTGGCATTTTACTAATACTTACATTATCTTGTCCATGTATATTTTCTGAGCGGGGTCTCTAGGATTACAGTACGTAAAAAAATCTGATAACAATGTTCTAGAAGTATAATACATATCGCACAATTTCTTTGTTCTTTCAATGCTAAATTTTGTAACAACCAAATATCGCTCAATTGCATTTCTACCTGTAAAAAGTGAGATTTGTTAAATTTAAGTATTTTATCAAAAGACCACTTGATATGAATAAATAGGAAATTGACATAACGTTCTTTAAATATTAATGATATAGAGCACGTGATCTGTCAGTAGATCTGGGCCGTGCGTACTCAAGGATACTTAACTCTCTATTAGGATTGACCGATCTCATCTAGTTTCTACGTAAGGGTGGAGATATTTTCTGAAATTTCAATTTAAAAAAAATGTCTTCAGGACTCTACCTCCCATCAACAATTTAAACAAAAAAAAAATTTAACTTTTAATACGAACTGAAAGTTGCCTTTACTTATAGTAAAATATTTCCTAAAATTTCAGTTAAAAATAAATATGTCTTTAGGCCTCTACCTTTCATTAAATTGAAAATAAAATACACAAAATTCTAGTAAAAAACATAAACCAAATGCGCCTGGCATCAAACTTTTACATTAATAAAGAAATCCAGAAAATCCCAAATATTATGTCATGAAACTCTTTAAACTTGTTCAATCCTGTTTAGACCAGTTTATAATCGTTTATGAACGGCGAAATATGTAGCTCTAAGCTGAACTCTGTGAGGTATAGGCAACACAAGTGCCTTCTACGTACATTGGGTTGCCTATACCAGACAAGGGGTGTGGTCGAGCTTGAAGGAATAAACAGTTCTTAACGAGATCTCGTTGTTATCATTTCGTACCTTACATGGCGCTGCGACAAAAAATTAAATAACAATATAAACAAAAGTATTTATAAGTCGTTAAATAGTTTAAGTACCGACAATGGATTATGACTGGGAATGTAAGTGAGAACTGGAAATTCTGGAGGCAAAGATTTACAACATATCTAGTAGCCACAGAAATTTCAAAGAAATCAGAAGAAACGCAATGTGCTCAGTTGTTAACCCTTATTGGGGAAGAAGGAATGAGAATTTACAATACTTTCTCATTTCGTACAGATGAGGAAAATAAGTTGGAAGTTCTTTTAAAAAAATTTGACCACCATTTTACGCCGAAGAAAAACATAACCTATGAGAGACAACAGTTTTTAACGGCCAAACAGAAAGATTTGGAGACCATTGAACAATTCATTATCCGTTTAAAAAATGTATCACTTGCTTGTGAATTAGGAACAATGAGGGAGAGCCTGGTCAAAGATGTTTTGGTTTGCGGCATTAAGTCAAATGAAATTCGGGAACGATTGCTACAAGAAGATTTTGCAAGTGCAGATAGAGCTATAAAACTAGCATTAATTATCGAAAGAACAAAATGAAATAATTTCAAATGAAAGAGAAACAGCATCTACAAATCTCATCATAGATAAAGTGAACTGGAGACCAAGAGGCGAAAGAAGAGAAGAAATAAAGAACACAAAGGAAAAACAACGTAGTGATGGAAAGTGTTCATTCAGGCATGACTTTGGCAAGTGTCCAGCCTTTGGAAAAGTCTGTGCAAAGTGTAGTGGTCAAAATCATTTTGCTTCGGCATGTAAAAATAGAAATCAAATCCCGAACAGAAGAAAGGTATATTGTGTAGAAGACGATGAAAGTGACAGTGAATACCTGTATGTAGATACAATAGATAGTATATCAAAAATTGATGAGATATCATGGGCTCAGGAACTAAATGTAGAAGGTAAGGTAATTAATTTTAAATTAGATTCGAGTTCAATGGCAAATGTAATCCCTAGGTATAAATATTCTAAGCAAAATTAATTTTGATACCAACAGATTAAAAAATAGCAAGGCAACTCTCAGCTCTTATACACATAATAAATTACCTATTGTTGGCGAATGCGTCTTGAGCTGCTCTCATAAGAGTATTAAAAAAAAGTTACTTTTTCACGTTATAGATTTACAAACATGTCCAATACTAGGACTTAAAAGTTGCATTGATCTTGAGCTCATCAGAAGGGTTGATTCAATAGAATATAAAAATAATACAGTAGAATACAAAAACACAGATATAAACAATTTACTTCAAATATACAATTCAATATTTAAAGGTTTAGGTTGTTTAGTTAAACCGTATCACAATGAATTAAAAAGGGAGGCTGAACCGGTTGTACATCCTCCAAGAAGGGTATCATTTAAGAAAAATTTAAAGTTACTCTAGAAAATCTAATAAAACAAGGGGTCATAGAAAAAGCAGAAGATGGTGCAGACTGGGTGAATGCATACGTTTTAGTTAGGAAATCTAATGAGGATCTCAGACTGTGTCTTGACCCAAAAGATTTAAATCTGGCAATAAAAAGGCATTATTTTCAATTACCTACATTTGAGGAGCTAACAGAAAAACTCAAGGGACCAAAAATATTTACCACTTTAGATGTCACACAGGGTTTTCTGCAAGTTACACTAGATACAGAAAGTTCAAGACTTTGCACTTTCGCCACACCATTCGGAAGGTATCGTTTTCTTAGAATACCTTATGGGCTTACTAGTGCACCAGAAGTGTATCAAGAGAAAATGGCAGAAATATTTAAAGATATAGAAGGGGTAAGTGTTTTTATTGATGATATTATTGTTTCGGGTTCTAATGAAGAAGAATATTTTAGTAGACTTAAAGAAGTTTTTAAAAGATCACATGAACACAATATTCGCCTTAATAAAGATAAATGTAAATTTTATTTACCTGAGGTTAAATATATGGGTTTTAAAATTACCTCTGAGGGACTGAAACCTGATGACGCCAAAGTCGATGCAATAAAAAATATGCCATACCTTAAAAATGTGGGCGACGTACAGCGTTGCCTGGGCCTGGTAACATATCTGGGTAAATTTATAGATAATCTTTCTGAAAAAACTGCACCTCTTAGATCAATAATAAAAAAGAATAAAATTTTTGAGTGGACAGAGGTTCAAAGCAAAGCATTTAATGATCTCAAAACTATTTTATGCAAGAATCCTTGTTTAAAGTTTTCTGATATAAACAAGATGACCACAGCTCAAAAAATGGAATGGCTGCAGTTCTGCTGCAAGAAGACATGCCTTGTGCTCATACATCTTGTTCTTTTACAGAATCTCAAACTAGATATGCCCAAATTGAGAAGGAGTTGCTTGCAGTCTGGTTCGGTGTAAACAAATTTTCGCAGTACGTATTTGGAAAAAACTTTGTAGTGGAAACAGACCACAAACCTTTGATAAGCATTATACAAAAACCATTAAATTCTTGCCCAGCCAGTTTGCAACGTATTCTCATTCAATTGAGGAAATATCAGTTTGAGTTAGTATATAAACTAGGAAAAAAATTAATTTTAGCTGATACATTATCTAGAGCCTTTCAAAATAAAACTTTCAATGAAAATATAGATATAGAACTAATTGCTCAAGTATGTTTAATTCAAGAAAATGTAAACCTATCTCAGAATAAAGAAAAAGAGATCATAAATGCTACAATAAATGACCCAATTCTAATAATATTAAAAAAGCAAATTCAAGAGGGATGGCCAACAAAAATTAAACAAGTAGATAACACACTTAAAGTCTATTTTAAATACAGAGCAGAGCTGACCTTAGTGGGCCAACTCATCTTTAAAGGGCAGACAGTAGTTGTCCTCGAAAAAATCAGAAAGGAGATTTTAAACAAATTACACTATAGTCATATTGGTATTCGCAGAACTATTGCAGAAGCAAACTTGTCTTTCTTTTGGCCTAACATGAATAATCAAATTAGACATCATTTTAAATTGCTGCATTTGCCAGACTTTTCAAAAAACACAGAGAACTGAACCCCCCATCACATTGAAAAACGCCCTTGGTATAAAATTGGTTGTGACATATTTCATCTTGAAAATGAAGTCTTTTTAATAGCATGTGATTATTACTCATTTATAGAAGTTATAGACTTACAAAAAAATTTAACTAGCCAAAATGTTATTCAGGCACTTAAATTAATCTTTTCAAGACAAGGTATTCCTGTTGAAGTTATAACAGATAACGGGCCAGAGTTTTCTAGCTACATCTTTAAAGAATTTGAGCAGCAGTGGGAATTTACTCACATAACTAGTTCACCGAGACATCCTCAATCCAATGGATTTATTGAAAGACAGATTCAAACTGTCAAACAAGCATTACAGAAATGTCTTGTGGATAAAAAAGATATTTATTTTGCTCTATTAGACCTAAGAAACACTCCTATAGATGGGGAAGCAACTCCGGCAAAAATCCTGAACAGAGAATTAAGAGATCTATTACCACATCTAAGCAATAAAAAAAAGTTGGACTTGAGAGAACTAAATACAATAAATTTTTAGATCAATGCCAAAATAAAAAAAAATGTACTTCGACATGAGAGGAGTTGAAGCACTTTCAGAGTTAAAAAATCAAACTAAGGTTAAAGTTCAATTTCAGCCAGGGGATAAAGTATGGAAAACTGGGAAAATTTTGTGAAGAGAAAGTATAAGATCTTACAGAATAAAACTACAAAATGAGGCTGAAATCATTAGAAATAGAAAGTTCATTAGGATTATGAATCATTGTAAGGAGCAAACTCCCACTAAAATAAATAATTCTTATAAAAACTGTAATGTTGCAAAGACCACAGATAATGCTGAACAACACATACAGCTAGAACATGATTCCGAAAAGGAGGAAAATGGCAATAACGAAACAGAAGTCAGAAAAACTACACTTACACGATCAGGTAGAGAATCTAGAAAACCAGGTTACCTGAACGAGTATGTAAATGTGGTTTATAAGAAGTACATTACTGCCATTTTCCACCACCGAGTAATTTCAATAATTACCATTTGTGTATTGTTTGTTTTTATTTAATATTCTTGAAAGGAAAGATGTGAGGTATAGGCAACACAAGTACCATCTAAGTACATTGGGTTGCCTACACCAGACAAGGGGTGTGGTCGAGCTTAAAGGAATAAAAGGTTCTTAACGAGATCTCGTTGTTATCATTTCGTACCTTACAAACTCAGTCTTCTTTTGATAGTCACGGTAGTAAGATCTTTGTTTTAAGTTTTAATGAGTTTGTCAGTGAAGGACACTAGGGGCAGTAGGGGAACTACTAATTGTCCTATATATTTGGTGCACCGGCGAATATACCCTCTGTTTTGCCAACTGTGCAAAATATCATAAAGCGATATTTGCTTATTTAAAATGAATTTAAGGGTTTGACCGGAGCGGTAAAGACCTTAGTATTTTAGAAATTTCTCAAATAATTGCGAATGAAATCGAAGTGATCTGGGAAAAAAGCTTCAATTCCCACTATATCGAAAAATCGCATTATACAATTAATTCGATATATCCTAGGTAAGTACCAAACCCTTATTAGATATCCTAAAACTATACGAAATGACAATTATATGTTAAAAGTTAAGAAATATAAAGACGATTCAAAGAAATTATTCGATATTATAAATGTGCTTCTTTTGATACATGTGACTGTGTTAAAAAACACAAAATACCAAATATATCGCAAGAATTATTTATTTACGATCAACGAACTGTGAGAAACTTTGCTATTGGAAAAATAGACATAGCAGCGCTTGTATCTGCTGTATTACAGGATTTGGGAGTTATTTCGAACGAAACATCGTCTTCAGTTATTGACCGAAGTGAGATCCGAAAAGCTCGTCAAAAACACCGGTTTGATTTAAAAAGCAAATTCCAAACATTCACTCCGGAGATTAGAGCATTATAGAGAATAAAACGATGTGCCAGGAAAAAATTAGAAACAATTTCATCGCAAAATAAAAATCGAAGAACATATATCATTGCTCGAAGAACCAGATTAAAAATATATGAGTCACATTACACCAACAACAGGTACGGGGAAACATATTGCCATATCTATAGTTAATTTTCTACAAGAATTTGACAACTGTATAAATAAGTTTTAAGTTGTAGGCCGCGATGGTAGAGCGGTTAATACAGGGAGGAAGAATGGAGTTTTGCGGCATTTAGAAACAAAACTGAAACGTCCTCTGCAGTGGATGATATGTCAGCTGCATATGAATAAACAGCCTCTTCGTCATATTTTTCAATTTCTTAACCGAAAAACTTCAGGACCTTGTGTAAACTGTGCAGCTGTAGGAAACATGTTGGAGTCTTGCGAAAAATTGCCCGTTGTAAATGTTGTTCCTATTGTTAGCCGTTTACCAGAATTAGACGCTGCAGCTATTAGGAATCTTAGCACTGATCAAAAGTATGTCACTGTTCATTCGATCCTTATTAGATTTAGCAGCTCATAATCCAGGTAAATGATCACAAGCATGATGGATTACAAAGGCAAACCGTATATGGCGTTTTTACATCGAAAGTAAATGTCCGTTTACAAATTTAAAGAAAATCGCTGAATTTGTGGTAAAAGTTTATGCGCCAGTAAAGTTTGACATTAAAAGAAAATCATCGTGTAGTAATGGAGGAAGACACGTCTTCAGAATGATACAGTTGTCACGCTACTTGAACAACGAATTGAAGGCAGTCATCGATCTTGTTATCAAACGAAATGCGTATATCCGGAGAACCTTCTTCTATCAATGCTCCTGGTATAAGACAACTTGGCTTACGAAGAATATTGGGCGCTCACAAAAATATCTACGGACGTAAGCGAATTTGTTATTCCTAAATTATATTTCGATGTCAGTGAATATTATGAGCTTATTGATTGGAAAAATTGCTTAGTTACAGCACCACCTCTTTTAAGTACTGCAACTGATGAAGATATAGAATTTATAAACGATACAGGAACTTGTCCTGTAGATTTGCTGTTCTTTTCCTGCCATACACAGGCAGTAGAAAGGTGCGTGAAGGTTGTAACAGAAGCTTTTAATTCTGTTGTCGGCCATGACCTTAAAGATGGATTTATTCGTTCAAGGATTCATTCTAGAACCATACTACCTCGATTTTACACTAAGGCGGAATACAATGCATGAATTTCACATACCTATTTTTTTGTTTGCTCGTCTATATTATATTGCTACGTTGTATTCGCTTTTTAAAAAAAAATTAAAAATTCCGGGATAAAACATCAAAAATAAAAAATGTAAAGACGTGCTCGTATAAGTAAGTAAGTACTTACTCAGTGTTTCCGGTAAATGTTTCTGGGTTTTGAACCATTCTAAAATGATATCAATATCCTTTTCGGCTTGTTCTTTTGTTTTGCCATTTATTTCTATAACTTTTTGGCGATCTGTTACTAGGAGTTTATCTGGGTCGACATCCATGATGGTTAGAATTACGTAAATTCCCAAATGGTTATTTTACTAAGAAAAATTCATAATTTGGTCTTTTAAAATTATTCTTTCATTTTCAGCTGATAGGCACGGACTTATTTTATTAAGTACCTATTTAAAATATAATAAATATTACAAAAATTAAATAGAATTAAATTAAACGTGTCTGTAACTATAACTGCTAATCTCAAACATTTTGGATAAAGTCAATCAACTCACATAAGTACCTAAACGTTGCTAAAAGTATATTTTTTAAAACGTTTATAGTATATTCATTAATTAATTAATTGCTGTTTGGAAAATTTTATAAAACGTGTATGTAGGAATTTTCTAATGTCATATTTTTCATGCATTGTCATGCGTGGATGTTTTTAACGAAAAATGGTGCAATATTAATCTGGATTTTTAAGGTTTGAATTGAATGAGAAAGCAAAAAATCTATTTTGTTCTCTTTATCTTTTTTGATTTTTTGCGTTTACTGAGCAAAAAATCTGATGTGTCCAACACATGACTTTCCTATCTAGTTATTACAGACTTTTTTGGTTATTTTGTACAACCTATTGCAGCACTTTTGTAAATGTTTAGAGGATAAACCAAATATATACAAGTTCCACATACATTGAAAAAGAAAATACTCCAATTTTTCCATTGCGGTCAATTTTAGAGAAATCATGTAAGAAACAAAAATTATAGAGATCGATATCGCAAACAACTTTTAGTTTAACAATTTTCTTAAAAAACAGAATTTTGAAAATTTTTTCAAATTTCTCGAAACGGACCATTCCAGGAAAATTTGATATAAAACAAGAATTATAGAGAATAATATAAGAAGTAACTTTTATTTGAAGAATTTTCTTCTCCAAACATAAATACCAGATATATTCCATAAATTATAAATCGACTTCCTATAAACCCAGCTAGCACCGGACGTTGCACATAGGTGTATTTGAATTATCTACGCGGTCAAAAGTCAATTTTACAAAATGCAAAATTTTTAAATAAAAACGACTACTTAGGTTAGGGGACTAGTTAGAGCACATTATCCATTCCTTCAGTGCACCCCGCTTATTCACTGGAAGTTTGAATTTTACTGTGTTAGTAGGTATATGTGTATGTGAAAGCGTTCAAGTGAAAACCTTAATTTAAACGGTAAATATTTTTTAATTTACATTTTTTTTTCTAAAGAAAAAGTTATGGATCTTAGTATAGTACACACTATCTGTTATATTTTTTTTATAATTTTTATCATTTTTTAGATTGTCTTAGTGTATTGAAAGTTACAATATAGCATATTTTTGACCGATGATTTGAATTCAATAAAGAATTAATTATACGATAGAGGTATATCCTGTTATAATTCTTATTACATACGAAAGGTTAGAGCTTTAAGTAATAAGTAATCAAAAAATTAGCCGCGAAAAACCGCGGATAAGTACTTTTTCAGCACATTTTTTTGTCGAAAACATCTATTACTTAGTATTAGGAGAAAAATCAAAATATGGTAGCTTTTTACCAAAAATTAGTGAATTATGGATTTTTAATTGACTGGTATTTAGCAAATAAGCTGAATTTGTTAAAATTATTTATTTTAAGTTTTTACTTTAGTGTCCTTATTTTCTATGTATAAACTTTCAAAATTATCGCTAAAAGAGTGGTTTTCAGCCAAAATATGATTGGAAAATGTAAAGTTATTATAACTGTTATGATGTTCTGCAGTGGGATTCTCATCTTTCGTACTCGGGATATTCCGAGAAGCTCACTATTCGCTAGAAAATAATCGAATCTTATGTTAAATGGAGTTGGGTATCGATCTAGACGTGAAAATAGGGCTGCCTTCGCGTTGGCGTTTTATGTTTCTTGGTTGTTGTTATGTCATTAAATGGTGTTTTTGGTTAGAAAATGTTTCGTTTGAAATATTTTATTTAATAATATTAAGCTAATGTATAAAATTTTTGTTATCTCTATTAAATTAGACGTTTAGTAGAATACATATTGTTATTTTAAAATACAGTAAAATGAGTGGAAGAAACTAGTGTGCCTCAATACCGTGGCCTCAATGCAATCCTTGTATAATTATTTCATGAAAAAAATGGCATTCTGTTACATTTCATCGATTAGTTTCCTAAAACCGGTAGATGTAAGGTAATTTTGTAATATAAAAGTGGAAAATCTGAACTTGTGGATGCAAGAAGAGTATATGCTTCAAAACTTGAAAATAGGGAAGTAAAATTTATGAAAGGAAAGTTTGTTCTCAGTATTTTAAAGATTTATTGGTACTTATAAAGCTAATACCTAGGTATATTTTTCATTTAATGTTTATTTAATTTTTTTTATGTTGCAGCTGCCACATCTCAAATAAAAAGAAACTCTCCTTTAAAACTGCCAATTGTTAAGGAACATTCTTATGACTCTGTTCCATCTACTTCAAAATCTAACAAAGACAAATAACTCAAAATTAAAAAAATTCCCAATCAGTTTGAATGTAATAATTAGAACACACAATAAGGGTTAGTTAATGAAAGTGATTTGTTTCAAGATAAACTAGTAACTCCTCCTGAACAAGACATAGAAGATGAAAATTAATATTTTGCAGTTAATAAAAAGTGTTGACAGTAGTTAGTGTACAAGTGAAAATAGTAAAAAGTAAAGTTTTACCATGTGTTGATTTATTAGTTTAAAAATTAAAATAGTGTAAAATTTACATTAACCATCACTTTTGGAAACTTGATTTATAATATATCTAAACCTACCAGAGTAACCAAAATTTTAAAAACATTACTTAATGTTATATTTTTAAAAACTGTCTGGTTATCATGCTGGTAATATAGAGATCTCATACCTCTGCTGATCACTGCTTTTTTGTAAATTTGCTGAACAAGAAACTGATCACAAAAATGGGCCATGTTCACATGTGAGATATTGTTAAGAGTGAGATTATAGGCCTTTTGACTGACCCTTAAGTCCACTCTTAGCGGAACCCTAACTTCCTGACGATGATTCAGAGGACGGGGAAAGGGTTTGCCCTACAGGAACTATTCCCTTTGGCAGTTTTGTCTCTCTCTCTCTCTCTCTATCTCTCTATCTCTCTATCTCTCTATCTCTCTATCTCTCTATCTCTCTATCTCTCTATCTCTCTATCTCTCTATCTCTCTATCTCTCTATCTCTCTATCTCTCTATCTCTCTATCTCTCTATCTCTCTATCTCTCTATCTCTCTATCTCTCTATCTCTCTATCTCTCTATCTCTCTATCTCTCTATCTCTCTATCTCTCTATCTCTCTATCTCTCTATCTCTCTATCTCTCTATCTCTCTATCTCTCTATCTCTCTATCTCTCTATCTCTCTATCTCTCTATCTCTCTATCTCTCTATCTCTCTATCTCTCTATCTCTCTATCTCTCTATCTCTCTATCTCTCTATCTCTCTATCTCTCTATCTCTCTATCTCTCTATCTCTCTATCTCTCTATCTCTCTATCTCTCTATCTCTCTATCTCTCTATCTCTCTATCTCTCTATCTCTCTATCTCTCTATCTCTCTATCTCTCTATCTCTCTATCTCTCTATCTCTCTATCTCTCTATCTCTCTATCTCTCTATCTCTCTATCTCTCTATCTCTCTATCTCTCTATCTCTCTATCTCTCTATCTCTCTATCTCTCTATCTCTCTATCTCTCTATCTCTCTATCTCTCTATCTCTCTATCTCTCTATCTCTCTATCTCTCTATCTCTCTATCTCTCTATCTCTCTATCTCTCTATCTCTCTATCTCTCTATCTCTCTATCTCTCTATCTCTCTATCTCTCTATCTCTCTATCTCTCTATCTCTCTATCTCTCTATCTCTCTATCTCTCTATCTCTCTATCTCTCTATCTCTCTATCTCTCTATCTCTCTATCTCTCTATCTCTCTATCTCTCTATCTCTCTATCTCTCTATCTCTCTATCTCTCTATCTCTCTATCTCTCTATCTCTCTATCTCTCTATCTCTCTATCTCTCTATCTCTCTATCTCTCTATCTCTCTATCTCTCTATCTCTCTCTCTCTCTCAGATATTGGATTAAGCCAATACCCTTTGAATGATCGTAAGTTTTCATAAACCAAAGAAAATTGAAACAAGCGTAAAACAAATAACTGTGATTTATTTAACAAATAAAAACAACTAATATTGCTTCTGCAATCACATAGTCTTTACTGACTACACAAAAACTAAATATAACTACTTAAAATTATTTACTTACATAAGCATTATGTTCTATCTGTTAAGCTGCAAGGCTGGCTGGTTGCACAGTAAACGGAATAATTACGCATAAACATAAAGTATTTTGCACTGTTTCTCCCACATTTAAAGTAAATAATGCTGAGGTAGATAACAAGTTGAATTTGATAATTAATTTTTAGAGAAACGTTTAATTTGTTCAACTACATTATTGTTAGGACTTTTATATATTTTTTATTATTTGTAAATAAAGTGTTTGTTACTTCGTTTATCTTATTCAGGTACATTTATTGTTTAATAATAGGTTAATAAATAAAATTTTCATAGATTTTACATTTTTGTTTTTATACATTTATTATAATCCCTGGAATAATGTGATAAATTCATTAAAAAAAAAAACAGTTTATTAAATTATTATTTAGTATTTAGTCTTACAAAATGAGTTCTTTTAATTTACACAGAAATGTAAAAGGTTTATGTAAGCTATACTTTCCTTCTCATAAATATGATTGAGGATTTTAGAAACACTGTTGGGCAATCCTAAATATACCTTCAGTTTATTTTCATTTATTTTGAGAGTTCAATGGTCTTGAATAACCTGCTCATTATTATTAAATCCCTCTGAATCAAATATTAAAGATGTTTCTTCTGATTCAGACAAAACTTTACTATCTTCAAAACTTTCAGGAGGTTCCGAAGGAGGGTTTTAGGTTATACACCTTCGAACTTATAGTAGGCCCATTTTAAATTTCCTGAAGGATGCAATGTCACAAATTACTACTGCATCTTGAAGATTCGGTGTATTTTTATTAAATAGAGATCAAAACGCCTCTAGTAGGTTATTTTCCAGTCAACTTTTTAGAAACATTTTTGCTGTTTTTGGTAGAATCAGT